GACTCGGCGCGGGCCGACCCCTTCCGGGGCCGCAGCACGCCTCCCTCGCCCCGCGGCGGCCTCCCCTGCCCTGCTCCCGCGCGGGAGGCGCTCTGCACGTGCCCCGAGGCGCGCTCGAGGCGCCGCGCGGGCGCCGCAAGGCCCCGGCCCGCGGCCCGCGCGCCCCCTTGCCGCACGGAGTTCCCCCGCGCCTGGGGTCGAGCCGGGCCTCCGGTGTGCATCGCCCCTTTAAATTCCTCAAAGGCCGCCGCGGCCGCAGCGCCTCCGTGCCGAGCGCTGCGGCTCTGCCGCCCGCCGCGCTGCTGCCGGGGAAGCCTCGCGGGCCCCACCGGAGCCGGCGCCAGGAGCCGCGGCTGGCCGCGGGTTCGCGAGGGGAGCCCCCGCGGGCGCGTGGGGCCGATCCGAGCCGAGCCCTCGCTGCCCGCCGGGGAAGGCCGGCCCCGCGCCGGCACGGAAACGCTGCCCCCCAGTCCCCCGAGGCGGCTCGCCGCCCCGCAACTCTGCACGACCGCGGGGGCCGCAAAATGCACTTTGCACGTGATCAGGCCCTGGGCTAAGCGCTACTGCAAAAGCAGGGACAAGCAGGCTCGCCAGCCGGATGCTAGGCCGCAGCCTTGTGGCAGTCTCTCCCCTGGAATGCACTCTGCACACACTCCGAAGCTGCCCTTCCTTCACCTCTGCAGGCAGCCAAGGGCTCCTAGCCGTAGCCACGCAGATTCACCACCTGCCCTGCCGCAGGTGAGCGGTGCGAGACCCCCACCTATGCTGAAGGCTGCGCTCCTTCCCACACCGCCTCGCCCGTCCTCTCCCGTTTCGCACTGCACGGCCCCACACGCAGCGCTTCCCGCCTGCAGGGGCCCCGACGTGCCAGGGGCCGCAGAAGGGGTCCTCCATGCGGGAAGGCTCTCCCCGCCGGGGCGCCCAGGCCGCTCGCCCGTACCTTCCTCTTGTTCCGGTGGATGTCGCCGATGGAGTTGGCCACGGTGTTGGGGCCCAGGAGCATGCGCGTGCTGCGCGGCCACTCGGTGCTCACGAGGCTGTGCTCGCCCATCAGGATCTTGCGCACGTTCTCCGCTCCCGTGACCCGGACCAAGGGGCGCCCCAGCAAGTGGGTCTTGAAGACATTCCCGTACTTCTCCCTCCTTGAGGACTGGAAGCAGGAGCCCTGGAAGAGGCACACAGACAGCAGCTCAGCGGCCAGCCAGTTCCTTGGCATCCTGCCACCACTGGCACCAGCGCGTGCGCGCGCACACACACACACGGCAATCCAGCTCCCATGCCTGAGGGGCTCGTGCTCGCCAAATTCCTAGTTAATAAATGTACCTTAGGATATTACACCTGTGGGCGGAAACAAGCAGAGGACAGATTTCATTCAGCCCCCGCTGCTGGACAGTGCCGCACGGCACCCTGGGAGATGCTGGGCACTGTTCACCGGCGGCACTGGAGATGCCACAGGGCTGGGATGGGACCGCATGATCTCTGAGGTGCCTCTGCACCAGGGCTCCATCCGCAGTGGCCATTTCCCAGGGCCACCAGCACCCGTGCCGGGACGGAGCCCCGTGACGGAGCCTTCGGTCACCCGCAGAGTTAGAGCTCTTCGTGGCAGGTGTGCATCGGGCTGCACACACGGCTCAGCTGGGGGGGAAGCGCTGGAGGCGGGTGGCACAACATTCCCGCTGGCTGGGCCATCCGTTCCTCACCTCCCGAAAGCCCGTGACACAATCCGAGACGCGGCCTCACCGCTGGACTGCAGCCTTGGCTGGGGAAGGGTGCCCGCGAGGTCCCCTTGGGAGCCCCGAGAGTGCCCACGTCCTCCAGGGACTTGGGGAAGGGGGCTCATCGGGGCCGTGGGGCGAGGGCGGGCCTTCACATCCCCAAGAATGGCTCCCCTCGCCACAAGACACGCGTTCCCCATGCCCGCTAGTAGGAACGTCCTGGCTTCCCAGTGCCCCTCCTGTCTGGGCCCACGCCAGAAGAGCCATGGGGCTGGACCCACCTGCTCCCACACACGGCTCCCCCGGGGGCCCTCCAGCAGCCTGCGAGGGGCCCGCCAGCGGGACGTGGGGGCAGAGCACCCGCTCACTGGGGCCCCGGAGGAGCGCGCCGCCATCAGCACTGGGGGCCACCCCCCTCGCCACGGTGGCCCGTCCCCTCCGGACCTGCCAAGACAGGTGGTGTCAACTCCCTCCTGTGGAAGTGAATTCCAGGGCCCTGCCCCTCCCCGGATCGCCTGCCCAGCACATTCTGGAAAGTCCCCGCTGGGTCCCTGGACCTGGCGTGGGGAAAGCCACGGCTGAGGGGGCTGTCACATGGGCGCTGGAGGGCCCAGTCGCCCCAGGAGGCTCTGCTGGGAGGCACATCGGGGCTGATGAGCACAACACCCAGGCTCTCCCAAGTGCACAACACGCAGCGCACACCCAGCAACCCTGACAACCGCCACGCCACGGCCCCTTCGACGATTTGCACCCCTGCTGGGAGTGACTGGGGTGCTCCAGGTCCAGATGGGGCTATTACATGCCGCTAGAAAAACCATCAACGCACCAGTAACGGGGGGAAGGGGGGGTGGCTATTAGGAGGGACCGGACTGTCCAGGCATTGCTCTTCTTCTGAGGAGCATCTTGCCTCGGCTTGGGGCCCCCAAAAGCTCCTGTGTTTTTCTGCAGGACAGATCCCTTCTCAATGTGGGCCGGATCCTTGGCAAGCACTGGACACAGTTTGGGACTTTTAATAACTTTCCCACATGCTGGTCACATTCATACAAAGGGAGGGATCCTGCGAGCGAGCAGAGGAGACCCTTCCCCACGCCCCCCGCCACATTCAACTCCACTGGGACTTGCTGCGGGGGGGGGGGGCGGCTTTCCCCATCCATTTTTGAAGTGCCTTTGCCAAGGTGTCTTCCCCTTTAAATTGAGTTGTCCGGGGAGGTGGGCTGCCTCTTCCCCCTTACCCATTGAGGGTCTCTGTGCTGCAGAGCCTGGGGGGGGGGGGGGGGGGGGGTGTGGGGGGGGGCGAAAAACAAACAAAAAGACAAAAGCACGGTTGTGAAGTTCAGATGTTCAGGTGACCCCATGTCTTGATCTGCGTAAATATAATTAAAGTACTTTTTGTGGCATTAATAAAGGGTTATTTGTACAACATTTCCATGGCTGTACAAAGGCCAGCTTTATGTGGCAAGAGTTTTCAAGCAGAGTCCAATTTATACACATTTTTTGTATTTTTAGCCCAAGACTCTGTTTGGATGAGGCCTTGTGGAAAAGGGAAAACCCTTTCTCGGTCCCCCTGCAAAAATCTGATAAATTTCTTTTAAAAATAAAGCCCTATTGAGTGAGGGCTCTTAACCCTTGCAGTGCCGGCAGGGACTGCACGCGCACCGGCACAGGCCCCCCAGTCTATTACGCCGGTCTTGGGACGGGCGGGGGGAGGGGCGCGGAACAGTTTGCCCTCCTGCCTTGCTTCGGGCTTCCGACACGCGCGCTCCCGCCCGAGCCGGATTCCCTGCACGAGCGCCCGGGGACCCGCTGTGCCACGGCGCGCCCCGCACCCGCCGCCCGGCCCGCGGACTTCGAGTCGTGGCGGCTGCTCCGAGGCACTCGCGGGGGGCTGCATCCTCGGACTGAAGGGGTCCCGGAGCAGCTCGCAGGCCGTTCGGGCGAGCGGGGACGCGCGGAAGCACGACGGGCTCCCCCGGCCCCTCCCGCGACCCCAAAGCCGCGTTTTTCGAAGAGACTCCACCGAGGAGCTGGCGCGGGTCCTGCCAGAGCGGGAAAGGTCCTGATCCGCGGCTGGCCGGAGAGGCTGCCCCTTCTCCGGAGTTGCCCGGGCTCCTGTCCCGCCCCCGCCTGGGACGTCCGGCCGAGTTGCGTCTCCCCCGCCGGAGAGACCGCCCGCCCGGGAGGCTGCGCCGAGAAGCGCGCTTCCGCACGCCCGGGAGAGACCGCGCTCGGAGGGACGCGCCGGCTCGCCCTCTCGCGCCTCGGGCTGGCGGCGGCGGCGGCGGCGGCGGGCGCCTCCTCGCCGGGCCTCACCTGGCGGGACGGCTCCCACTCAGCCCCGCTCTTAAAGCGGCGATGGAGCCTGGCGCTGCGCGGCTCGCTGGAGGCGGCCTGCTAGTCTCGCGGGGGAACGAGTGCGGGAGCGACCCTGGCCGCCCCCGGAAATGGAGGGATCCGCGCGGAAGGCACAAGCCGCAGCGGAGGGCGCCGCTCCGCGCGCAGAAGGCTCCGGGTGCGAGGCCGCCACCGCCAGGGCAGGGGGACGGGACGGGACGGCACGGGACGGGCTGCCTCTCCGGCCCCTGCTGGCCGGAGACGCAGCTCTGCGCCGATGGAGAAGCGCCGGGCGGGCGGGATGCGCCCTTCGCGGGACCATGGGCTGGGCCAGCCCCGCGGAGCCGGCTCGTCTGGCAGGGCGCACTTACCTGGGAACAAGCCGTCTCCGCGGAGCGCGGGCTTACTTCCGAGGAAACGTGCGCAGGACCGAGCTCTCGGCCCACCTTTCCGCCGCCCGCGCGGCCGCTCACGCAGCCCGCCCTTCCAGCCCCGTCCGTGCCGCCGGCGGGCCGTGCGAGGGGCGCGCGGTCCCGCCGGCCGGAGTGCTGCCCCCTCCCCGCGCAAGGCTGCGCCGCGCCGGCCGCCGAGCGCCCCGCCGGCGCTCGCTCGGCGTGCGCTCCTCGGCCGCGAGCGCTCCTTCCCGGACGGGGCGCCCGCCGCGCCGCGCCTCGCCCCCTCCCGCCTCCAGCAGCCTGACGCAACGTCTCCCCTCCCCCTGGAGCGCCGCGGAGCGGAGGCCGCCTTACCTGCAGGAGCCAGTGGAAAGTCTCCCCGACCAGCGGGAAGCCCATGGAGCCCTTCGGGATGGGCAGCTTGCAGCTCTTGTCGCGCGTGGCCGCCCAGCGCAGCTGCCACAGCTGCTGCGACACGGCCAGGAGCAGCGTCACGGACGCCAGGCAGGCGACGAAGGTGGCCAGCGCCGAGACGAGGTCGAAGCTCTGGAACAGCATCTTGCGCGGCGGCGGCGGCGGCGGGCGGCGCGCGCGGGGGCGTCTCCCGCTCCTCTCCCGCTCGGAAGCCCGCGGGTGAGCCGGAGAGGGGGCGCCGAGGGAGGGCGGCGAAGGAGCGGCCGCGGAGGGCGCCACCCACGTGTGTGCGGGGACTCGGGGCACTTGGACCGAACGCCACGGCCGGGACAACGTGTGCTTTTATAGATGCATATGGGGAGTCAGCCCCTCCCCACGCATAAAGGAATGCAAAAATAAAAGGCGCTGCGCCGGGGGGAGCGGAAAGCCCCCGTCCTGCAGTCCCGAAGGCGACGCGGTCCCGTTCTCGCCGCTGCGCCCGCGAAGGCAGAACTGCGCTCCGAGGCGCTCGCTCCGAGGCTCGGCAGGAAACTTCGGAGAAGGGGAGGCTTGTCTCGTTTTTGCTTTGCACCAAACCCAGAATCCGAACACCAAAAAGACGGGGGGCGTCACTGACGGGCGCAAGGAAAGGGGGGCCGGTTTGTGTGACTAAAAGCGGCGGCGGGAGCAGGAAATCAGGAGCGGCACGAGAAAAACACGAGCGCGGAGGACCTCTGCCCCAGCAGAAGAGGAGGAGAAATTCCTGCACGGGCAGAAGCGCGCGCGCGGGGCAGCAGCGAACTCCGGAGCGGGACGGTCTCGCGCGGCGGCGGCTGGCGGCGGCAGAGGCAGAGGCGGCGGCGGCGGCTGGCTGGTGTCGCTCCGTCCAGCTTGAGCGGCTCTCTTGAGCGCCTCTGCCTGGGGCCGCGGGAGGCCGGGCCGGGCCGGGCCGGGCCGGGCCGGGCTGGGCTGGGCCGGGCTGGGCGGGGGGAGCCTGCCAGCGAGCCAGCAAGGGGGGAGCAGAGGAGGCGGAGGGCGGCGCTCCGTTTCCACTGCGCCGTCGGGAGGAGGAGGAGGAGCCGCTTCTCTCCGCGCCAGTTTGTGGGGAACAGACCAGGCGGGTGTTTATATAGAGGCGGCGCGGGCCGGGCGCTCGGCCGCCAGGCGGGCAGCCCCTCCTCCGCTCCCCCGCCAGGCGGGGGCGGGGGCGAAGGGGGCGGGCGCGGCGGCGGCGGCGGCGGGGGGCGATGCTGGGCCGGGCCGGGCGCTGGAGCGTGCCAGCTCTGGCTGCGGGCCTGCCGGGCGAGACGCGCCCTCGGCTGCGCTCTCCGCCTCCCCGGCCAGCTGACGACCGGGCTGCCTTTGGTCGCTGCGACCGACGAGAGAGGAGCCCACCGGGAGGCTGGCTCCGGAACGGAGCGGGGCCCACACCTTGCCCGGCCGCCGGGGCGCCGCAGCCCTGCGCGCCGAGCCGTCCCGTCGGCGGCAGCGGCGGCTGGTCCTCGGCCCCGGGCCGCGCGGCTCGCGGCCGCCCCGCGCGTCCTCTCCTCGAGCTGCGAGCCAGCCGTGCCCGCGGCCTCGCTGCGGACCCAAGCCCCGAGGCTTCCCGGAAGAGCGGCGAGAGAGGAGAGCCCGGCGGGCAGCCGCCACGCCGCCGCGGGACCCGAGCGGCCTGGATGGAGCCGCGGAGCAGCGGCGCGCCGGGCCGGGTCGGCCGCCTCTGGACTTGGCGCGGCCGGCCGCACAGCGCTGGTCTGCAGGGGAGCCGTCGCTCGTGCAGCGAGTGCAGCGAGCGGGCCGGCTGGCGCGGCTGCTCGGAGGCAGCGGGGCAGCTGCCTCCGGCAGACGCGACAGCGGCCCTCCGCGGAGGACTGGCGAGCCGGACTGCCGGGCTGCGGCGGCGTCCCACGGGCTCGTTCTGGCGGGGCGCAGCAGGTTGTCTCTGCCCGGCCGGTCCCCTCGCGGAGGCAGCGGGAGCGGGAAGCAGCGGCGGAACCGGCTGGCCGGACGAGCCCGGCGCTTCTCCTCTGCCGGGTGCGCTTGCCAGGCTGGGCTGCCAGCGGCGAGCCCGAGAAACGGAGTGCGGGGTCCTCACGCCCGGCAAGAGCTGCCTCAGCGCCGCTCGGCCGCTGCACTCGCGTCGCAGCCCGCGTTCGGGCCCAGGGCGCCATGCGCAGCCCAGCCGGAGGCGACCCGGCGCAAGCCCTGCCGCGATGCGCGGCGACGGACCGGGAGCGCTCAGGCGCCCCGCCAAGGCTGGCCGGGAGTGCTTCGGAGGCGACGGCGGGCGGCCTGGCGGGGGTCCTGCCGGCTGGCGGTGCGGGGTAGCGGGCGGCCGGCCGGGCAGGCGCCTGCAAGCATTTCCCGCGGACTTCAAAGGGGCTCCTGCGGGGGCAGTTTGGGGAATCCCTTCCGGAGACCTCGGCTCGCTCCCGTGGGGCCAAGCGGAGGCGAAGCACGGGGCATCGCCCTCGGCGCGCTCAGCGGTGGCGGAATCGGCCCCTGCCCGTGAGGAGGCGAGGGGAGCCATCGCCGGAAGGCCACGTGCCCCTCTCGGGGGTCCCTCGTCCGCCCAGGCTCCGCTCCCCTTCCAGTCCGCAAGGGTAAGGCACGGTGGGGCAGCCTAAGCGGCGAAGCGGCGGCTTCAGAGACCAGCTATTTAAATGAGTTTAAAAATCGCAAAGACCCACTGATGAGCCGCCCCCGCGGCACTGAAATGTGCTTGGGCTCAGCGCCGCCTGCCCTTCCCGCAGCGCCCCCAGCAGCCTTCCAGGGGTTCGGGGGACTGGGGCGCAGGCTGCACGGCAGCGCAGTCCAGTGCACGTGACCGCCCTGGTTCGTTTCGCCGTGCCGGGCTTCTGCCCGGGTGCCGCAGGAATATCCACTCGCACGTGCGGCCAAAAGGGGGAAGGGCCGTCCTTGGCAGAGCGAGGCAGCCGCCGCCAGACCCTGCGCTGAGCACCGAGGAGGAGCAGGCTTCTGGGGTGCAGCTTGTGTGCCAGCGACGGAGCGGGTGCTGCCTGAGGGGCCAAAATACCTGGCCCCCTTGGGCACCGTGTGCCTCCCTCTGGGAGGGGTGGGGCGCCATGTGCGTCTCCCTCTTGGGCGGCAGGATGTTTTGGGCCAGCGCTGCGGAGACGGCTCTGCGGAGGCTCTGCCGCAGGGGTGAGCGAAAGGCCAGTCTCCAGGTGCTTGTGACTTCAGATCCCAGAAGCCCCAGCGAGCCGGGCCAGTGGCCGGGGCTGCTGGGAGTTCACAGCCTCCAGGGGCCGCTCTGCCGGGGGTTCTGCGGGGCCTGGGGCCCGAGTGGGGAGCGCAGCGCCCATGGCAGTGCCTGGCTCAGCAGAGGTCTCAACAAGGTCACACAACCACACCAGTCACCCCGAGGCTGCAGCATGTGAAACAGCCCTCAGCATCAGACACCACGGGCGGTGCACCCACAAATCCGTCTGTGGGATCACGCTGCAGCGAGGCATCGCCCCTTCGAGGCGGGCGCTCCGGGCAGCCCAGCCCCACACTGCGCTAAGTGCTGCTCAGCAGCCCCCAGGAACGGCGGGCGCGTCACCAAGGCCACCCAGCCCTCCCTGGGAGGCCGCCGCTCCGCTGCAGGGCCGGAGAGCGCAGGCCACACAGCTGCAGGGGTGCCCCGGCAGAGCTCCCCAAAGAGGTGGCCTGTCGCCATTTGCTGGGATACAGAATGAACGGGGGGGGGCGGGGCTGGACTTCTCCATCAGCAGCCGCGAAGGAAGCGGAGGCAAGGCTCGCTCGCCCAGACGGTCCAGCCCTTCTCTGGATCGCCTGGTGTCGGGGGGGGGGGGGACCAGCCTTTCCTGCCGTGCCAAATGCTTCTCCAGCCCCTGCCCTGCCTCCGTCCCCCGGCCTCTCGCAAACGTGCTCTCCAGCAACGGGCCGCCCGCTGGCAGCCCGGTCTGTGCCCCTCAGGGGACTTCCCTGGGCAGAGCCCGGCAGCACGAAGGGAAACCCAGCACCTCTTTCCCTGGAATCTCGTGAGCCCACGGCTGTGAGAGAAACCCTGCATGAGAACGCCAAAGGCCACCGGGGGGGGGGGGGGGGGGCCGCCCCGGGGGGGGGCCCGCGGGGTTGGGGGCGGCTCGGGGCATTCGGCTGCTCGGGAGGGCGGGGGAGGCGCGATCCACGATCTGAGTCGCGCCCCTCCCGCAGCACCTGCAAAGGCGCAAGGGGCACCGAGGCGCCCCCCCCCCCGCCTGGGCGCCTGCACCTCAGGCAGGAGCAGCAGGGCGAGGGGCCTGCGATCCTGATCTCGCGCTGCCCCGGGAAGCCGAGCGGCGTCGCGCAGCTGCATGTTCGCGCGGCGCCGCCAGCCTGGCGCAGGGCGCTGCCGCAAGAGTGGCCGAATTCCCCCCCCCCCACCCGCTGCGCCTCTCGGTGGGGCTGCACTGCGCGCGGGCACGTGCTGCCCCGGGACCCTGCGCTCCCTGCGCTGCCAGAATGCCAGGGCGCAAGAGGGGCCGCGGCGGCCGAATGGCTTCGATTTCCCTTTTTTGCCAAAAAGGACACACGCGCCCAAAATGAAACTGGCACTTGCTGGTTGGAGGCAAACAGTGAAGTCGCACTTCGCCCGTTGCAAGCGGAGGGAACGCGCGATCTCCTGGCCGCGCACCGTGCACAAGGACCCCCAAGCAGGCGCTCCCCGCGGCCACTCTCTCAGCTCCGCGGCCACCCTTCCCTGCAGAAAAGCACCGGGATTGTGCGCGGTCGGTGCCGTCCGGACGCAGCGCCGGCCGCTCGGCCCCCAGGCCAGGGTCGCGCGCACCTGTGGGACTCCGTCCCTGCGCTGACCGGGTTGCTGCTCCCCGGGGTCGCTGCTCGGGCTGTGCAGGGCGGGGCGCCGCGAGAAGCATGCCCGGAGGCTCTGCGACCCGCCACGCTGCCGCTGGCCTCCGGAGAGAGCTGCGATCGCAGCGAGCGGGACGGGGCTAGACGGTGGCCCCGCTACGTGCCGAGCCCGGGCGGGCTGCCGCGGCTGTGCCTGCGTGCGGCACATTCCCTTCCCGGCCCTGGGGGCCCCGGAGCCGCGGGCAGGGACGCGCCCCACGTTTGCCGCGGCAGCTCGGGTGGGAAAGGGCGCGGGCGCGGACAGCTCAGAGGGGCTCGCCGGGACGCGCCCGGCCCCTTCTGCTGGA